TCATCTATTGGAAAATCGGTTTTAGAGAAATTTGTGTGTTGTCGTTATTTACATCGAAGTTTGTGAGTTCATCAAGAATAGCTGTAATCTGTAAATAGCAATTTATCAGCTTATCGTCTGTTTTACCGACTGCGCCAAATCTAAAAGGAATGTGTTATTTCTGGCTGGAACAATTATGTATGAATGCTCTCGGTAGATAGTATTTTTATTTTTGTTTGTATATCATTTTCTGTCATTTATATGTCAGTAACTGAGACCACAAATTCAGTAATTCAATTATGGAGCAATGTAATGCTTTTACAACAAATCCCAAAAAATATACAGTCTCTATCACAAATTTATTTTTTTTTATTAAAGAAAAATTGTATAAAAATGATTATGATAACAGATGGGCTGAAAATTAGTCCTAACACCTGTAAACTATCTCACAAACAACGAAACGAATATTAATATCGTTCTACAATTGCATCAAAAAATTGCGCGCCATGCTATCCATCTTGGCCATTGACTTGTCTAGACAATGTTTGCCATCGGATTAAATGAGCGAAAAAATGTTAGTTAACAAAAAGTAAATGCGACTTCAAACAACTAAAAATAATAAAACAATTTCAAATTCTGAAGTCTAAGGAACACAGCAGCACTAAGCTGCTATTTCTTGCTAGTATTTATTCGTTCTTCAAGTATTTTAAAGAAGTGCAGGTTTCCTTGCGATGTTTTCCCATACCACCACACACCTAAAATTGCAAGAACAATTTATTTAGTATCCGCTAGAATTGAAATTGGCTTGCTTATATTAAATTCTAAGACGAACGCTTTCTCTGAGCTACCAAGGCTCAGTTATTTCATTAATTTTAATTTATTTTTCATTTCATTTATTTCAGCCTATCAAAGTCTACTGCAGAACATAGAGCTCCCTATAGGTTGCCTCACAGGCAATCTGTTTTAGTTTTTTATTAACCTACTAGCGAACTGTTTACGAATTACGAACACAAGCACACCGGAATTTCATAAATAAAGATTTTAAGTTGTTACCTTAAAACAGAAATATAGTATGTAATTCTTTTACTGCCTATCTTCTGTTTCATTTCCCTCTGTCGCTTCTTATGATAAGTGATAACCATGGGATGTTAAGGGATAGTGGATTCTCAGCACAGTACAATAACGCGTTTAAGTTACTTAATACCAACATAATAAAATAAGATAGGAAGTGTTGTGACACGTTATTTTATGCAAGTTAGAATGTAATCTGTTACAATTTGTCACCGCATCCGAGAAACATCCGAAGCGATGAAACCGTGTACGATAGCCGTTTAAAGAATTTAAATCCTCGTTCTTGGATTTAGGGTTGAGATTAAAATGTGGACACCGTCGCTATCTGGCGACGTAAATTACACCCGCAAACAACGCATCGGTGGTTTGTTTGTACTTAAATATATTAGAGGTTAATGCAATTTGTTCCGGATTGAAATATAGATTCATGATGAATTAGGGCTAAACGTTAAAATTATCTACGACTTTTCTGCGACAGGGTGACGCCATTCCGGAATGAGGTAAAGTTTCTAACGTTAGTTAGTTACTAAATCTATTTGTGAAATATTTGACAGATTTCATAGCGGGTAAGTTAAATTGACAGAAAAGTGGAGAGGTTAATGTTCCTTTCTAAAATAAAAGTTATATTATTTAATAATTAACTATAAACGGATAAACCAAACTACGGATATTCCTAAAAGTAGTATAATTAGAGAAAGTTAATAATATGTAAGAAATTAAACAAACATATTATACAAAATTTTCAATGATGATTACACTGTGTGACCATTTGCGAACCTAACAAATAAGTATACCTTAGTTCCATCTAACGACATATAGTGGGCATAAGATTATTTGCCCTTATTAGTAACACTAACTAAGTCATGACTTAAGACGCTAAAAAAATCAATGAAATTAGAAACTATGGACTTTAGCTCTTATGACACGAACTACATTTTAACAATTCGCCATCTATCAAGCATTATTTGGGAGATCTGAATATAACAAAATATTTTATATTCAATTAATTTAAAGAGTGAGTGGCGGCTAAAGCGAATCTACCACCCCGTTTCGTACCATGGGTGTGGTAACAAAAATGTAACCTGGGAAATGCCAGAAAAATCTCATGGCTTCCAACTCTTTCTGATAGATATAGTAGAGCAGTAGCATAGAGTCATTCTTTGTATATTTACGGAATATTCGGAAAAAACGGATTCGGAAACTATCTCTCCTGGAAAAACGAAGCAAGAAACCTAGTGGGATTATTTCCTTTAAATTTAAAGATTACAGTAATATTATATACTTTAAGATATGAACGCAAATAAAACATACTCGTTTTTGCGTTCACAAAAGCATAATAATATTGTTATTTCCATTTTGTAATTTCATATAGGAGGGAAGTTCTCTTTATGATAATAATAAGTATACTTATTTAGTTTTATTTATTTTTTTCACACCATTTTATTGTCAGTGAATCTTGGCTAATTAATTTTCATATCTTTAATTTTTCCTTATGATAATGGCGAAATAAAAAAAAAATATGTCGAGCGGTGTATAAAATTATCTGCTCAATATTCGAACACATTCTTTTTTTTAAATGCAATCACATGCCAGTTTGATAAATGCCAATATGAAAAAAAACCGGCTTATACAAACTACAAAAGGAAGAATGTAAAGGGACCGTAGGGAGCAATCAATCGTACAAGATCGTAGTTAAACGAAATTCAGCGTTAAAGAGATAGGGACTAATGACGCCAATTCAGGCGGAATTCTGTATCAGCTTATTATAAGGTAAGAAATTGCCGTACACATAACCATCTCTTTATACGCAGGTAGTTTTTTTTTAAATTGTAGTAACAAATGAACTTGCAGTTACGCTAATATTATCAATTCTTGACTAGAGTTTATATATTTTACGTCTTAACGTTAATTATAATCATTCTGTACGCTACGAACAAACATTAGAGTTAGATGACAGAGATGACTACATATTGTGCCATTTGCTGTAGAGACTATCGGTCCGTGGGGTTCAAGTGCGGTGAAGTTCCTAAAGGAACTCCACACGCGGCCGGTCGTTGCTGCTGGTGATTAGAGGGCTGGTTTTTTCTCGCTCAAAGGCTTAGAATAGCCATTCATCGGGGAAACGCAGCCAACGTTCTTGGCACGATACAGCGGGGAGTAGTACTATATGATAATTAAGTTAATAGTTTTAGTTTTCTTTTATTATTATAGTTTTTCTTATTGGATGTACCTTTTAAATTAAAAAAAAAATAGTTAGTAATTCATTCAAGGGTCAACGTACAGTATACACGCTTTTACAACAAGTTAATTTATTCATGAGAGCCTTTTAAAAAAATTGACAAAAAATTACTTTGCGTACATCCGCTAGATAAAAGACTTTTACGTGGTAGAACCATGCTGCAACTATATTAGTAGTATAGTTCTAGCACGAATGGGTCGGCTCGACCGGGGAAGTACCACGCTCTCATAGAAAACCAGCGTACTACGTTTTACTGGCAAAGAGGCATTCCATCTTAGTCCTCACGGGTGACAACGCATCTGCATCTTGAGTCTTTATTGAGGATAGATGTAGATGTCTATGGGTCACAGTAACCATTTACCATCAGGTGGACTGTGTGCTCGTTTGTCACCCTATCCTATAAAAAAAATGATGTGTCTTACCTAGTTTGAAGAGCACCTCCCGCCCTCCGTCAATTACGTGCACTATCCCCGTTATCACTAATCCCAGCACCACTAATCCCAACACCACTACACTAGGAAAGACACACCACTGACGACAATACGATACGTGTTTCGCCTCTACAAATTTAATATAATGTCAAATTTAATATAATGGACTTCCGCAAAGTAACGCCTGATTCTATTAATTAGCCTTTTAAAAGTCCACTGCTTATCATAGGTCTCATAGATTGGAGCCGCTCCTAACAGGTGGGTTGGCAACCGCATGTTTTTGATTATTTTGAGCCGTTATCAAGAAGATGATGTAAATCTTCTGTTTTAGATTCTCTTTGTCACCTTTTACGACACTCACGTGATGTATGGGATAATGTAGGTATAAGTACCTATAAAATATATTTCGTCACTACACGACATTCATGAATACATGGTTGCAAGTCCCCTTAGTCGAGAAGAGCGTTGGCTGTCATGTGCATTATACTTGTGAACAGATGCTGCTTGTAGGAGCTGCGGGGATAGCTAAGCTGATTTTTTACTATCATTAACGCTAATAGAAAATCATAAATATAAATATAATGAAATCAACGTTAAGTCACATGACATTTGATACCATGCATTTTCATAGCTTTCTACAGAAAGTTAACACGGCTAACCCCGCTGGTGTGCTCGGATTTACTATTCACTAATCCCGTCATGTCAAGTGACCATGTTATAAGGGACGTGACTGTCGAGAGGCAAAGTGATGATCTCATAATTTGTATAGAATACGTTATGAATATATCAATCACTAGTAAGCATGTATATTATCTCTGGTGTACTTCATAGGTGCTCCCGTTTTATTGTTAAAATAATGGTTTGAATTGATATTGACACGTAAAAGTGGTGTGCTTTTTGTTTTGATTTTTAATTTGTAATTTCAAATTGTATGTAACAAGTGTTTCGATGGTGATAATCTAATAAATCTGATGGATATTATCGACTTTGAGGTTTTGAGATATAATCGTCATCAAAGGTTTGCTGGGTTATGCTGTTGTTAAAATTTCTCGAGACATATTGTAAAGAGTTCGAATAAAATACAAACCAGACTAGGCTGTATAGTCTAAGACTTTTGCCTGCCCTAATTGATAAATCGTAATAACAACTAATGTCAATGAGGGCCAACGCAAGGCATCCGTGATGTTTGGCGTCTTGTTTTAATTTGAAGATTTCTTATATAGGCTGCTTAAAGTTGAGTGAAAAGTTTATGTTGTTTAAACGAATTTAAATCGTGTAAAATGTTGGTGCTATTTGAGACGTCGGCGGGTTACGCTATTTTCAAGGTAAATGATAACACGTGTTAATTCTAACCTATAGCATACGAACTTCGCCTACTTTTTTGAAAAGTCTTATCTATTCAAATATTAAACCTATTTAAATTGTATCGATTTTATGTTATATGATATAGTTTTGATAAGAATTTAAATTTAAACACAAAAAAATTATCAATATCAATCTACATCAATTAATGTTCAAAAAGGATTGCTATAACCACAAATTGTGGATAAAGCAAATGGTAAAAGGATAAACAATGTATATAACAAATAACTATTGCCATTAACTTAAAAGTTTTGACAACTAATTTTGTACATAAACAAAAATAAACTCTACTCTAATGACAAATATTACACAGAAAATCAACTTAAATTCTCTCCAAACCATTATATTATAATTAAATAGTAGTGCTAATCGATTATAACAAACATGTTTATCTATATTTTCTACCGATTTCAAGAAACTGTTCAGCCGTTTGAAGATCATCAGCTCTTTGTTTCGGGGATTTTTACTACAAATTTTATTTTGCATTTTTTTTTGTAAAATAAGTCATACTTTTGTTTTCTTTATGCTTTATTTGACATTTACTAAAATAATCTTTTTACAAAGAAGTCACCAAAACAGACAATTAGTAAAAACTTTGACAAAATCCTGATTTGTCCATAGTCAATTGCTTTTATTACTTTGTTATAAGTATTATGTCAATGATTCTTTGTAAATGCTGGTACATAAATAATGAATAGTTATATGCGATGAGCATAAAATCACATAATGAAACCTATTCGATGTTAATTGAGTGATATAGAATGATCATAATAGTAGTTTCAAATTTAAAGTGTGATGAGTATTTAGTGAGTGTTAGTTGTAAATAATTTTTTTTATATTGTACATGTAATTGTGTCTTTCAAAGACTGGTAACTGATTGATTAGATTAGGTGTAACATAGTTTAAAGTCCTTTTTTAATATAATTAATTATATTTAGGTAATTGTAGTTTTAGATTATCAATTCTACGACTGGAATATAATACCTTAAAATTTTAACTTAAAATACTTTAAAATTTTTGGGAAAACAATTTTGTTTTTAATAATGTTAGTTCAATTTTGTCATGAATAGGTTCATAAAATGCAAATAGTTTTCAGGAATCATCTTTAAAGTTCATTTTGAGAGTATTAGAGACTATTTGTTTGTAAATGTGCAGCTAGAGTGAATATATTCGATAAAGATATGTTTTATAAGATCTCCCATAGCTCGACAACCCATATTGTGTAACAGATTTAGCTAAAGATTCATAGAGTATTAAAGATATTTTGAAGGGTATTTTATGTTTGATTAAAGAAAACTGCCAATATCCCACTTAATCTATCACAAACATGGGTACGACTTTCCATTGACATCGGTCGAGTTTGGTGTTGATATGTATTTTTACAGAAAGATTACATTTTTATAAGCACACACACAAAATTTCAATATGCGGAAACACATACTTTTTGAGAAAAAAATATTTAAAATCTAATATTTTTGCAATATTTATGTCAATTCCTACCATGAAACTGACGCCATTTTTTATTATTATTGTTTAGTAGGGATGTCGATCTTTTCAAAAAAGATCGATTTTTTAAATAGATTAGAATTGTAAGCTGATGTATCGATTCCCAAAAAATCGATTTCTAAAATATCTATATGTTTTTCATGTTTGCATTTATTATGCAAATATAAATTCATTTTTTGAGAAAAAAATTCTCTTCATCATAAAAAAATAAGGGGACTGATTCAGAAGGATTTCTGTATCTATTTTGAGACTGCAACGTCTCCGGCGCTGCGGGAAGAGCAGCTAAGCCAAAGAAAATAAAAAAAAAAGCAATTGAATATGGACAAATGAGGATTTTGTCAAAGTTTTTATTTATTGTCTGTTTTGGTAACTTGTTTGTAAAAAGATTATTTTAGTAAATGTGAAATAAAGCATAGAGAAAACAAAAGTGTATAACTTATTTTATAAAAAAAAATTTAGGTTATATTTTAAAAATAATATTTGTGTAAATAATAATGCAACATAAAGGAGAATGCCCATTAATGTATGGAATCCCGTACCATGTTGCATCAAAATCAAACTTTGTTTTTTATGAACTACACGGATCATATTTACTCCTACAAAAGTTTTTTTTTTTACAAAAACCCGGGTTTTGGTGTTATTTTATAAAATCGAAAATAACCGAAAAACTAGTTCTATGTTTTCGACACTACCAACGACCAATTTTAAATAGACACGTTCAACACAGACGAACTTTATGACTCTAAAAACAGTGTTATTTACTAATATCAGTAAGAATTAAGAGTTATATCAACATATAGCCGTGCTACAGGACTGAAACTCTGAGATTTGCACCTTTTTTTTTTGCGCCCAGAAGCAATAAAAGGGCTACCCTCCGGGAAGCGAGGTGATGAATGCTCTAAGCATACCACGACAGCCAGCTGTGTGGTTATGTGGAACTCACTGCGAAACCTAAGTGCCTACCCACTAAACACCACCTGTGAGACTGACATTAGCTTGTGTGGCCTATGTTCAGCAGTGGACTTGTGAAGGGTTGTAATGATGATGATTATGATGACGATGATGACTGTGATTACACTACCACACTAATACCAATAAAACATAATCATAAAGGTGACCAGTCAGACTGAAAAAATGCTTGTTGAGTCTAGAGAGCGTCTTGAACAATAACCCTTTAATAATCTTAAGATACTATTCATGACAGACACTATTGCTCATGGTCATGTTATTGCCGTGAATAACGGATAGAAAAAATAAAACAAACAAGTCCATTTTTAATAATAGCTTTTGGGTTTTTTAACAGCGATTAAAAGTCAAAAACATTTATTTAATATACATTTACTTAAATCATACATTCATAATACTCCTGAAAAAATGATCTAAAGCCGTTGCCGGCGCAGTTACGTCATTATACCGTCTCCAGCTCAAATATCACAATATCGTCATTATATGAGCACAGCAGCCCACCATTCGCTTACCGACGAGGCAGCTGCAGCAATAGGTATCTAATGTGTTAGCCACAGCATCATCTCTGCTAATCAATAAATATGTGTGATAAGTAAGTAAGTAAGTCTAGATTTAATCCGAAGTACAATGGAAACTCATTAATTAAACACTCTCTGGCCTTAATCATTAAGCATTCTAAGGTGACACGAGATTTATTAAAGAGTTGCCAACCTTTCACTACTATCACCAGTTCTCAGCTTAACTAAGTAAATACTTAAAGCAATTGTGGCATTTGGTACTTGTCCTAGCAGGACAAGTGCCAAATGCCACGAATGCTTTAAGTATTGTAAGTAGTATATCGTATAAAAGTCTAGCGACTTGGGATACAGTTTAACAAATCATAAAACTGAGCCGAGTTCATGCCAAGCCAAAAGTGACAAAAATATGTAGGCATAATTAAAATATTTGAGAAATCTATATGGTAATAGGCAGCTCACTGCATTATATTCATAATTGTGTCAAATTGACTACCGGTAAAAATCTCTTAACTGGGAAGATAATTCACTCCAACGGCCATGATCCAGGTGGTGACGACAGATTCGTGCTGCCTGTGGCACATAGAATTTATAATTAAGTAATAACAGATTATAGATGAGGGTACCAGTAAACGTTCTGTTTCAAAACAATTAACAAATATACAGTGATTGGATGTGCTAGCGGCACGCTTATACATAGAAGACATAATTGTTGGATTTGATCTAACTTGGTATGTAGTGTGTAGTGTAACAGTGTGTAGGTTTTGTTGTGGAAGATGGGGCGGCTCAGGAATATTGAGATGCCCACTTGATCACGACATTGCACTTCTCTTGAAGCTGATCTCCAACTAGCAGCACATACTCTTTCCAATCTTGAGATCTAAAAAAATAACATGATTAAACATATAATACAAAATATTTCAAAATAGGTTATAAACTTGATAAAAGTTTGTACTGTAATGAGATGTAACTGTTAGAAATACATGATAATGATCAGGCAATAATTGTGTCAAAATAGATAATATTATCTAATACCTACAACATTATTTATTTGTGAAAGCTTCACTTATCTGGACTCAATATAATAAACACATCTAATAATAGTATTATCACTATCAACTATAGAAGATTAGAGAAAAGTAGAACATTAAAAAGAGTTTGATATTTTTTTTATATTACAACTAATAAAAATATTTACCAAATGCAGCGGGACATGTCTAACTAAAATGTGTCTCTCTTGTCAATCTTGTCTTACATGATATGTTCTAGTTGCATGTAGAATAGAATTGCCACAAGAAAAATATCATTTTCTATGACCAAAACCAGGCAATCCTTCACTGATTGTGTTTGCTCCATCTTGAAGCAGTGTCAAACACTCTGTACAAAGCACACATTCTGAAGACAACTGCAATAAAAATCATGAATAAAAAAGTGTGTTATTACACCTTGTTGCGTTATCTATCCTCTGTAACATATTCACAGAAGTTACACCAATCAAGGGTAAAGCCTTTTTGGCCTCAAACAGGTTGAATTTTTGTTATTTTTTGTGCAAGTCTAAAATAAATATTTCTTTCATTCTATAAAAATGTTTTGTAAGATGGTGGAGATCTGACATTCTTAGGTATATATTCAAAGAGTAAAATAAGATCGGCTTACCTGAGTAGGAGTTATCCACGACTGTAACAAGTTAATCATTGGAGTAGACACTTGTTCTAATGAATGTGTAGGTAGATTTCTGGGTATCAAAAATGATCAATTGATATATCGTTGGTTTTGCCGGGTGACTGACGGTATCAATTGTTCGACCCCAAGACTCGACATAATTGCACAATTAAATGCACAGAAAAAGTTCACAAAATACAACGAGTTCTACAAACGCAAAGTTAGTGTTAGTGCGTCACCATGTGTGGGACACCACATCGATTCGATGAATCGATCCAAAAACCTCGCGAATTGTTCCGATTCAAGAACTAGCGATAAAGTACCTAAACTGGTTGCAATTTATAACTTTTAATTTTTTTGCTGTAGTCGGATGCAAAAACAACCGGTCGTTCTTGGTGGTTAATTTGAACACATAAAATAATGATTTATGAGCTCATCCAAAGATGTTGTTACTTACGTTACTTACTAATAATAAAAAAAAGTTGACATTGTTATTTCTAATCTAACCCGTGGATTCCAGCCTCTAACCTTATCTGTGCTTTTTATATACTTATCTATTAAAGGAGTTTTGGCGGGAACTTGACCGGCTGATTACTGTTCCGGTATTATTATTTAAATAATAGTTTCAAGTGGATTTTGTTAGGTTAAAGTGGTTCGGAATTTGCATATTAAATGTCTGCGCATGTGAACTATTAGCGATAACGGTGCAACAAGTGCTTCGATAGTGATGTGAATCTCAAAATAATGCGTCTGTCTGCTTAGCCACCTTGAAATACTATTACCAACTATCTGCTGGCTCAAGTGGCCGTCAAAATCTCCTAAAAACTAGGCGATGTGGTGCATCAACATGTTGTGAAGCAGTGTACTATAAAAGATCACTTGATACTAAAATAAATGAATACACAGCTAAGCCAAAAATCAAAATAAAAATAATATTTATTAAAAATATATTGTGAGTAAATATTATATGTTGAAGTTTATAGTAACGAAATAAATATTATCTATTGTGTTCGTGTAGAATACATTTCAATTTGATAAATAGTAAGTGATTAAATTGAAACCGATTTATCGAGAAGTGTATTTTTTTTCTGAAAGTGTACGCTGTTGGCCCAGGGCCTTGACAGCTTCATCTAATTAGGCTCGAAGGCGAGGACTTACGAACTATTGAGTGCAACGACTGCAAACCCGAGGCACCCCGACAGCTTCTTTCGGAGTGAGGCTCCTCGAGCTGGGGGGGGGGGGGGCTCGATGCGATTCCATGGCCCCTCTCAGAATGTGATACGAACCTCGGCTTGAATCACTATCGCAATTTTGTTTACGGGTCGCAAAAATTAGAAACGCCCCGTATCACAGGTGTTGAACCTTGTGTACGGGGTGGGTCTGTGACCACGCGTTCGCCGGCGAACGCGGTATGCCCTAGTGTTCTGTACTAGAGTAGTGTCTGAGTGTGTGGAGAAATGTACGTTGCAGTTTGCACTATTTAAATTCCCAGTCGTAGCACAGAGTCTGGATTTGAACCCAGTGTATAGCAAAAGGCTCAACCCCCATTACATGGGACGTATAACATAACTGAGGACTAGTGGGAATACTACATACCTACTCCTTCTGGGAAATACAAGCGTGATGTTAAGTATGTTTATTAATTGTATAATAATGACTAGCAGGAGTACTACACACCTCTGCTTACTATTTCGGGGAATTATATGCGTGATGTTATGTTTATTAATTTAATCTTATTTCTATCCAATTAGTTGTATTTAGTAAATTATCATTAATAATGTTCGGTGTCTATATTAGGCATGTTTGAAAATGTCGTGATTAATGGAAAATCAATCTTTTAACACTCTATTTAATCGAAAATCGATTCTGGTATGTTTGAATCGAATCGGAGATCGATTATTTTTTAACTGAATCGATATGTCTGCTATAAACGTCATTTATAGGGAGTAAAACCATAGACATAGAGCATGGACTGAGACATCCAATAAAATTGACTATATCCTAAATCCATACTTTTAAACTTAAAAGTAAATTCCCTATTCAAAAATCAAATCCCCGGACGAGTAATGTCGTAAAATAATATGAAAATAATTATTATAAAATGTTTCTCTTGAGGCGCGAGACTTTTTGGTACCACTTTTGGTCATTCTCCTTTGAAGTAAAACCCCCGAAACAAAAAGAGTTGATGATCTTCAAACGGCTGAACAGATTAGCTTGAAATATGGCCAAGAACACTCGATAAGAACACTTTTCAAATGAAAACAACTTAATCAAAATCGGTTCATCCGTTCAGGAGCTATGATGCCACAGATAGACACAGAAAACATACTACAAACATAACACCTCTGTTTTCGTCACGGGTTAAAATATTGAACCACTCTACTTTATTTCATCATGTAAGGTATGAAAAGATATACATTAAAAGGAAGAAGAAAATAAAAAAATGAGTACCAAAAACAATCAAAATAATTTTTTTAAATACGAGGGCGGGTCAATAAGTCCGTGACTTTTTGAATTTCTGACCTCTTTACTGAAAAAGCAACACAACTCCTGTCAACAGGCATCTGTCAGTTGACTCCTGTCAAAATTTGAACTTGCTGCGTCAGTTAGTTTGTGTTTGACAGCTATCTTTATCAGACTACTCAGTAATTTGAGGAAAAAATGGAAAAAAGTGAATTTCGTGTGCTTATTAAGCATTATTTTTTGCGAAAAAAAAACCATTACTGAGACCAAGGCTAAGCTTGATAAATACTATGGGGACTTTGCACCATCGATTTCAATAGTAAAAAAAGTGGTTTACTGAATTTCGTTGTGGCCGTAAAAGCACTGAAGATGCCGAACGTCCTGGACGCCCAGTTGAGGTCTCTTCACCCAAAACAATCAAAAAAATTCACAATATGGTGTTGGCCGACCGAAGATTGAAAGTGCAAGAGATTGTGGAAGCCGTAGGGATCTCACATGGCTCAGTGGTTTCAATTTTGAATGATCATTTGGGCATGAGAAAGCTATCCGCAAGATGGGTGCCGCGTTTGCTCACAGTCGACAAACGCAATCGTGTAACAACTTTACAGGAAGGTTTGGCGTTGTTTAATCGCAATATGGAGGAGTTTTTGCGCCGTTTTGTAACTGTGGACGAAACGTGGATCCATCACAACACACCAGAGACCAAACAACAGTCAAAACAGTGGGTTTCTAAGGGTGAATCGGCGCCAAAAAAGGCCAAGGTGGGTTTGTCAGCCAATAAAGTTATGGCTACTGTTTTTTGGGATGCACGCGGGATAATCCACATTAACTACCTTCAAAAGGTACAATAAACAATCAATGGGGAATATTATGCCAACTTATTGGACCGATTCAATGACAATTTGAAACAAAAACTGACCTCATTTGGCCAAGAAAAAAGTTCTTTTCCACCAAGATAATGCAAGGGTGCACACATGTGCAGTTGCCATGGCAAAAATCCATGAATTGGGCTATGAATTGCTCCCTCATCCGCCCTATTCTCCAGATTTGGCTCCAAGTGACTACTTCTTGTTCCCAAACTTGAAGAAATGGCTTGGTGGAAAAAGATTTGACTCCAATGATGAAGTCATCTCGCAAACAAAGGCCTATTTTGAGGACCACGACAAATCATATTTTTTGGAAGGGATAAAAAAATTGGAGAAGCGTTGGACAAAGTGTATAGAGCTCAAGGGAGACTACGTTGAAAAATAAAATGATTTATTTATCAAAAAATCTGTGTTTTATTCCAAAAGTCACGGACTTATTGATCCACCCTCGTAGTTATGAGATGATAAGAATATTGTAGTGAAAAATCATTGATTATTTGGTTTAGTTGGAATTGATTATTTGGTTGTGGATGTAGAAAGGCTATTCTTAGTTGCATTATGTTTTTATTTTTTTTGTTTCAGTTATTGGATGAATCGAAGTTATCACAGATTGAAGACCTATATCAAGAGTTCAATACTCCAGAAGGTGCTTCCTCTGTGTAAGATTTACTTGTATTTAGAGCTGATCACTATTTGAAATTTTTTCATCCTTTACAATCACCAATTTTTCTCTTTTGACTTTGGACTTAATCCTCTCCAGTTGTAGGAATTTTTCTTAAAAAATATTTATAGTATATTCTATTCTATGCCTATTCTATTATCCATAAAAGCCTATAAAAGTCCACTTCTGAACATAGCATTCCCATAGATTGTCTCATAGTGTATTTTGTCGTAGTTGTCATACTTAGTAGGTGGGTTGGCAACCACAGTTTTTTATTTGTGATCAGGAAGATGCTGTTGTCCATGTCCTGTTTCAGTGTTCCTCTGTCGCCTTGTATGACATCGTGGTAGCGGATATTCTTACACAGCCACTACATGGTTTTATGCCTATAAAAATAGTCTAGATAACTTTTTAAAAAAAAGTTACCAAAATATTACATTAGCAATAGCAAGCATGTAAATGAACAAACCCAATAGAGATTATGCCTCACACTCAGAAACCAGCTCATTATGTCTTTTTTTAATAATTTTTAATTTTGGAATACCGTTATGCAGTGTACACAGAAAATTACAGAGCCACAAATGTTGACACTTCCTATGCAGTGCAAACAGAGGTATACGTTTATCACAACCAATCCTGTTTGATGAGACTGATCAAAAAGAGATAGGTTTGGATGCTGTCTCAAAGATATGGAAAATTACGTAAATATTAGGTCACTTAGAGTCATTTAGCGGGAAAGATTTCCTTTGATGTTCCTGTAAATATTTAATTTTTAACCTAAAACTAGCTACAGCTGGGGGAGGCCTATGTTCATCTGTGGACTTTAATAGGTTGTAAGATTAACGCGTTGTGATACTTCATTTCTATTTAAATTATGCTCACTTTTCATGGACTTCTATATTAATATCTTGTTTCAGTGTAAAACTAAAAAACTTTATTAAGTTTGAAGACACTACAGAAGCTTTAGCTGCCACTACAGCAGCTATAGAAGGCAAGTTGTCCAAAACACTTAAGAAAGCTCTCAAGAAATATGTATGCAAAGATGTTCAGGATCAATTGTTAGTTGGAGATGCAAAACTAGGTAGTGCCATTAAAGAAAAATTTGATTTACAATGTGTCTCAAACAGCAATGTTCAAGAGCTAATGAGATGTATACGTTCACAGATGGACAGTTTACTCACGGGCTTACCGAAAAAAGAGATGACGGCTATGGCATTAGGTCTTGCCCATTCTCTTTCCAGGTACAAACTAAAATTTTCTCCAGACAAAATCGACACTATGATTGTCCAAGCACAATGTTTATTAGACGATTTGGATAAGGAATTGAATAATTACGTTATGAGGTGTAGAGAGTGGTATGGTTGGCATTTCCCTGAACTTGGCAAGATTATAACAGACAATACATTGTTTGTAAAGATAGTTAAATTGATTGGCACCCGTGATAACGCCTCCAAGACTGATCTATCAGATATTTTACCTGAAGATTTAGAAGAGAAGGTCAAAGAAGCTGCGGAAATATCAATGGGTACAGAAATATCAGAGGATGATATAATGAATATACAGAATTTGTGTGATGAAATTATTTCTATAACAGAATATAGAACACATTTAACAGACTATTTGAAAGCTAGAATGATGGCAATGGCCCCTAATCTAACCGTTTTAATCGGAGAACATATCGGGGCTAGGCTAATAGCTCATGCTGGTTCTTTAATGAACTTAGCCAAGCACCCAGCGTCCACAATTCAGATATTTGGTGCAGAAAAAGCTTTATTTAGGGCATTAAAAACGAAGAAAGATACTCCTAAATACGGTCTTATTTACCATGCACATTTAGTTGGTCAGTGCAGTACAAGGAATAAGGGTAAAATGTCTCGTATGCTGGCTGCAAAGGCAGCGCTTTGTACGAGAGTGGACGCTTTCGGAGACGAAGTGTCGTTTGAGCTCGGAGCTGAACACAAAGTCAAGTTAGAGAATAAATTGAGGCTGCTTGAAGAGGGGAACCTGAGGAGGATTAGCGGGACAGGAAAGGCTAAGGCGAAATTCGAGAAATATCACAGTAAATCGTAAGTTTCATTTATTAAATTGTGATTTGTTATGCAAAAAAGATTCACATAATGATTTCTTATATTTACACGAAGACTACACATTAAATGAAACCAATTTTTACGGATTTTATCGTGTTTAATTTTAATTTTTTAATTCTCGTCGTTTCGGGTGCTTTACAGTACCCGTTGTCATAGGTGGACTGAGGTGTTTGAGGTGTTTTTTTGAGATGTCATAGTTAGCCCAACTTTCAGTTTTTGAATATTAATTTTTGGTCCGATCTATACAGAACTTTTTAATTCCCGAATTAAAACGCAATAAAATCCGTAAAAATTAGTTTCGTTTAATAAAGATTCCGTCAACAAATGGCTACTTAACATTTTGGTGTTTAAAATTTGCATCAGTATTTAATAATAAGGGCTTGCTTTGATTTAATTTACAACTAAGGTTTAAATTTATTTCATTTTTTACAACTAAATTTTACCTTTAAACTTTTGGTACAAATTTAAAAAAATTATGTTACAGAGAAGTCTTCCAATATCCAGTTTCTGGTGACAGTACTCTTGGCAAGAAACCTATCAAGAGAGAACATTCGCCCGAAGAGGATGGTCAGGTGTCCTCCAAGAAGATAAAGTTGGAAGATGGTGCAGAAGATGTAAGTTAAAATACTTTTGTATGTCAAATGTTGTACAGTTTAGATTGAGATGTCTCTGCAATAGTACATCCGCGTGCCAAGCATGACAATTAAGATACATCTTCTTTTCAAAGGGATAGGCCCTAATCCTGTAGTGGACCGGGGAATTAATAGAAAAGAAATTACTGTAATAAAAAGCATAGATAAAAAATAACTTACATTATTCCGAATCTAGAACTGTGAGTTGTGGTGTTCCCCAAGGTAGTTTTCTTGGTCCTTTCTTTTTCTTTGTTTATATAAACGACTTACCTCTAGTAGCCAACTTCCCCATGACACTTTGCACATGATTCTAATGCTCTTTTCATGAATACATATTTCACTGGCATTTAGAAAATAATTGGTTGGTTAAATCTTAATAATCTTAAAACAATTTTAAATAAGGTTAAAAGCATGACTTTCCATGAAATGAGATACGACAACATACTGCATCATAACTTGGATAAAAATATTGGTAAAACTAATAACTCACATTTCTTAGGTTTAAAAATTGATAACATGTTAACATGGAAGTCTCATGTTGATATAGTATGTACGAAATTTGATAGGTTCTCCTATGCATTTCGGCAACTTCCCAAAAGTACCAATATATACACGGCTTAAATACAGCAAAATGAAACATGTCTTTTAAAAACTAAAAGTATTAACTATATATTTTAGTGATCACCATGTTCGTAAAAATTAACATTCATCTTTATGAATATCATATTAGTGTGCGACACTGTTGCAACTAAAACAGCGTTATTTAACATAAGCGTATTTTGTATGGCGATAATAAAATACCCAAAAAAATTAACAAGTGATGGTTTTTTGATATAACGTGTTTTCCACATCCAGATACCCAATTGTTTTAATTTAAAAAATCACGGGATCAACATTTAAATAAATAATTTATCTTTTACTGTACATATTATATTAATATAAATATTATTTTTATAACATTTTCTTTAATAATAATAATAATTTTTAAATAAATTTAAAAATTCAGACAAATAAAAAAACACAAATGTAATACTATTTATTTATATTTAAAATATTAATAAAGGTCATTATTAAATAATATAATTACATGTCAATATTCAATATTTTAATGACATAATTAGATTTCTGATATGCTTAACTTTTTTTCTCAAATTCTGTATCCACTAATATTTTGTGTATGTTGCATTCGCATTTCATACAGTTTTTTTTAGGTACTTTAATTGATTTATTAAAAATATTGTACTTCGTATAGGTAGTAGGTATTTCCTACTGAGTAGGACAGTTGTACTTGATTATATATGTAGCTAATATCTAATTAACACCAATGATCCACGAAATAAATGATTCTGATACTGACTCTTTTCAGACTGGAAGCGCTTTGAAAAATTAGTTGGTTCACGCTAATAGCAACAAGGATTCACATATTTCGGTTATTATTTATATTTCAAAAGGGAGTGAATTTATTTTCTATTGGGTCAGTTTTATTCCTGCGTACCATTTTGGTCACCACAAGTGCCAACACACACTGCCACACTGTTTGAAGTTGGTTGCAAGTGTTCATACTTACAGTAACACTTACTATTAGGTGGACCGTGAGTTCACTATTAATATATAATATAATATAATTTTATAAAAAAAAACAAGTTAAATTTTTTTTTAATATTTTATAGGTAATAATTTTTTTTACTTAACTATGTTTTTTTCGTATTTTTACATTGTCATCCGATTCTGACCTATATTGAAAAATTTAAGTGTAGCTCATCGGAAAGTTAGTTTAGAGTAATAGAGATACCTTGTATATTTTCTGGGGCTTTGTTGTAATAGTGTTTATGATGCCCTATGATTGATTTACTTACTCTGTGGAGTCGAAACTGGTATGTCATTTTTTGATGCTTAAACAATTTTGTATGTTATGTTGTACACAGGTAAAACCTAAAAAGAAGGTCAAAGCGGAACCAGAAGACACAGCAGACGGCCATGATCAGTTAGACAACGGTACAGCTGTGCCAGAGAAGAAGAAAAAGAAGAAGAAGAAGTCGCTGGACGCGTCACAAGCAGAAGCCGAAGTTATGGCAGAAGTTGATGAAGCCCAAGAGCAGCCAGAAGAACCCAAGAGTGAGAAGAAAAAGAAGAAAAAGAGACAGTCCCAAGTGGAAGAAGAATAAACTACCTCTATTAGTTCTCTATGACTGCTTTAAGTGAAACTGTTTTAGGTTAAGAAAAATATCTCACAGTGTGAGGCGCTATATTAAATCGTTTTAATACAATTGTTTCTACTCTTTATCAGTCCGAAATAGCCCATTATGCCCAGGCATAGGCGATCGCGGTACTGGAAGTCTAGCATTTTGTCACTGTTTTCCATATCCGACCTGAGTACTATTTTAATGTTTTATATCACCATTTGTCGAAGGTCTTTAGACTTTTGTGGCTTTATATATAGTGGTCTTATGACACCAATGTGATGATATTATGGGGAGATGGGTTCTCTTTTGTCGTGTAATGGCGGAAGGAGGCCATTACAAAGGGGCAAGGTTTAAAAGACTTCGAGATTCCCATTTTATATAAATATTAATGAGTTCTGTGTTGGAATAAAAAAATGTCTGTTGCATATATATAAAAGACCGAAAACAAGTTTCTTCGTATTTTGTTTGTATAAAATTGAAGAAAAATCTCTATGGTTGTACTGTTTGTACCTGGTCGATTTTAATATCAATGCATATAGGATTTAAAAAAAAAAAGTAAAAAAACACTCCCGCCACTTTTAAATTGTTTTTCTGTCCGCCAAAATAAGTGAATCTAACGAAGAAATTGGATACTTACATTCTGAAGTTTTATTTCGAAAAAAGGGGAAAATGCGACTCAAGCAGCAAAAAAAAAAAAGAATTTATGACGTTTATGGACCTAATACAGTGTTAATAAGAGTAGTACAAAGTTTTAATACGTGGTAGCGCCATGCTGCAGCTATATTTTTGGTATAGTTATAACACGAATGGGTCGGCTCGATTGGGGAAGGACCACGCTCTCACAGAATACCAGCTTAATGCTGCTGTGTTTCGCATGGTGAGTGTAGAGAACCGGAGACCCTGTTTACTGGAAACGAGGCATTCCATCTTAGTCCTCACGGGTGACAACGCATCTGCATTTTGGTTCGTAATCAAGGATAAATGTAGATGTCTATGGACCACAGCAACCACTTACCATCAGGTGGACTGTGTGCTCGTTTGTCACCCTTATCCTATAAAAAAAGTTTTGATGTCAAAGATGCAGCTCGCTCTGGTTGCTCTCATACGGATAACGTCGATGCCATTTTTGAATAAGTGGAGCAAACTCTGCATATTAGTAGTTACGACATAGCCGAGGAATTAAGGATTGACCACAAAACAGTTTGACCCATTTTAAAAAGTATGGCTATGCAAAAAAAGCTCGAAATTTTTGTACCACACGGGCTCGACTCATTTGCGATTCTCTATTGAAACCAAAGACATTTAAGTAGTGTACCTATAAATTTAAATCTCTGAAACGTATTCAAACCGAACCATTTTTGAAAAGATTGATCACTGGTGACGAAAAGTGGATCACCTACGACAAGCACGTGCGAAACAGATCATGGTCACAGAGGTTAGTCAAGCTCCACAGACTAGCGAAACCCGGATTAACACGCAATAAGGTGATGCTGTGTGTATGGTGGGATTGGAAGGGCATAGTTTATTATGAGCTTTTAGTGCCGGGCAAAACCATTAATTCGGATCTCTACCTCCAACAACTAATGAGAATCAAGCAAGGAATTGAGAAAAAATAAAAATAGGTAAAAAAACTTTTTAAGTTAAACGGTTTTATGTTAAACATACATTGCAATGTTTAAGATAAATGTACTAAAAACCAAAAAATAATAAAATAGATACAGTCGTGGGAATTATAAACATATGCATAGACTAGACTAAAATAAAACCGTGGGGCACGTCAATTGTCTACAAATTATCGACTTAATGTGCGATAGAAGAATCGTTTAATTCGTCGTTAAAATAGGCAGTTGGCCCGCAGACGGTGAGGAAATTACTTACTATTTTCTTGCTCATGGAAATTCCAATAGTTATACACTCCATGTAAATAAAAGAGATGCTTCAACTAGTTTATCGTTGGACATTCACACTGCTGGCTGGCGAGGAATCGTTTCACTGCTCGTAGTTTGTCTTTAATCGACAAAACATATGATAAAAGTACTACTCGCTCACCACTATGAAACCCTAAAACTCGCTTATAATCGAGCTTGCTAGCTTGTTTCCACATTCTAGCCCTACTTATCACACGTCCATCGTTGTCGGTTGAACAACTGCCTAATTATAGTGTAACATTACAAAACAAACATTTTAATCAACGATTGTAGACAATTGACGTGCCCCACGGTTTTATTTTAGTCTAGTCTATGCATATGTTTATAATTCCCACGACTGTATCTATTTTATTATTTTTTGGTTTTTAGTACATTTATCTTAAACATTGCAATGTATGTTTAACATAAAACCGTTTAACTTAAAAAGTTTTTTTACCTATTTTTATTTTCTAGTTTTTAGTTTTTATTTCGCATTCTGTTTAATTCATTTAGTGCTTCATTATTGCAAGGTTTCTTGCCCGTTAGTTTATTGCAGTCCAACTCCTCTATACGTAGTCCCTGCAAAGATCTTACTCTACTAAGAGCCACGTAGGCTTGACCTTCTTCAAACAGTTTCGCACCTAAGTATACGACTGCGTGATCCACAGTGCTGCCCTGCATTTTATGTATTGTAGAAGCCCATGATAGTATTAAAGGCAACATTCTTCTTTCAGCCGTCCCGTAATTGTACTTAGCTGGAAACTGTATGGCTTTCGGGTGTATAAGATGTACTTCGTCTCTTGCGAAATCAATTCGGACGGAAGGTACATCTGTTGCATACATCTGAGTTCGACGAAATTGAGGCCAAACGATTTCGTTGATGTAGCCTATAGCGCCATTTACTAATCCTTTTGAAACGTCAATATTGGACCGTAGCATGACTTTTGCCCCCACAAATATTTGCAGTTCCGCTGGTAAACCCCCAGTTTTGTTGATATCAGCTGGTATTATAGTAGCTATATCCACATTGTCTGCATTTCGTGTGGCGTGTACTAGCTGATCCTGCGCTTTTATTTTGTAAATGCGAGCACCATTATTTCTGTACAAATTCAATACAGCAGAGTTGTGGTCGTTAACTTGTTGATTTGTGGGGTATACCCTTAACGCTTTGTCTATTGCAAACTCATCACTCGTGTCTTGAAGAAGTCTTCCCATTAAAATACTAAAATGTTGGGTTGTTAGCTCACCGACTCTCAAAGCATTCAAAATATCAATAAAAGTCTGGTCACCTTGCTGACGCATATTTTCAGTTAATTCACACAGCGTGAATAAACGCCAGAGATGTGTAGCTGGTTGGAGATGTTCTGGCTGTTTGAAAACAGGTGTTCCTGATCGTTTTATAGGAGGCAGTTGTAAAAGATCAGCGAAAAGTAATACGTTTACTCCTCCAAAAAACTCATTTTCACAGTTCTTAATTTGCCTTAATCGAGCGTCCATCATGCATAACATTTGATAAGACACCATGGAAATCTCGTCGACAATCAAAAATTCTGTCTGATGCCATTGTTGCCTCATTATTCGCAAATAGTTTCCGGACAGTGGTGACATACCTGTTATGCGACCGTCTTTCTGTACAGGCAATTTTAAAGTACTGTGTATCGTAGCTCCATTTATTAATCTAGCTGCAACTCCTGTTAGTGAGCAGACTTTAACCGCATCCTTTGCGTAGCACCTATTAATTTGGTCTCGTAATAACTTTAATAGAAAAGTCTTGCCCACACCAGCTCCTCCTGTAAAGAATATTTTTAAACGTTCTTCAGCACCTGACATTTGATTTTGTATGGACTGGGTAACTAATGTAAAAATTTCCTTTTGTCCTGCATTCATAGACTGCTTAGCCTGTAAGAACTGGTCTTCATTCATTGGCAAATAAGGAACTTCTTCTTCATGGTCTAGTTCCATCGGCTCTGCGTGATCCAGTATCTGAAATGCGTGTACTTGCGCGAATGCATTTTCAAGCTGCCTGTCACGTTCACGATATATTTCCAAGTAGGCGTTTGTTTGTCTTAAACTTTCTTCGTTGGCGAGAAACGCATCTCTGGCACTATTAAATTCTCCTAAAAGTTCGGCCTCATTGCGATACGGCTTATACTGGATTAGTAAACTGTAATAATATGACTCTGGATCAGAAGCTGCTACGAAGTTAGGTACCCGTACTACAGCTGGCGTGTTTCTAATAGTCATTTTGGTGTTGTCTGTTAAAGTTATAAGACGCCTTCTTGTTGTTTGCTCGTGCGGTGCATAAGCATCGGTATCGATGCTCTCTTCATTTATAACTGGCGGTTTTGTGTAGTGTGGCTCAAATAACATCGCAAATTCTATGAGACACATATTGTTAAAATCATAGTTGGGATGCTCTGCTGGTCGCTTTTCATATCGTTCGAAAATATTGCCACAATATCCTGCTGCTTGACCAGCTTCATTAAACTTCAACACTTTATACCTTTGTTCCGCTTTACGAGTATTGACAAAAATTGTTTTTCTCGAGCTGTCACGCATACTCAAATGGCATAGCCTGAATACGCATTCGCAGGCTGAAACTTGACGTTCTCTTAATATGCGCATGCATATTTTAAACAGCTTACGCGAGACGTCAGTTTCTTCTCTTCTAATTTGTTGAATAGCTCGAGATACTTCACCATCTAGGTTTGTAGGTTCTGATTTTGACACGTATTTAGCGATGTAATACGCAATCGACTCATTTGTACCACACGGTTGTATATCCATATTGGCTTTCCACATTTTTAGCAAAGCAGGACTGTAATTATTTACCCAACCATCTTCACTTTTTCTTTTCAGAACGCAAATGCGACCACCGTTGTAGATGAATTCGTTAGATGAAGGATCAATAACATGTGTCTCTAAGCATTCCGAGCGTGGAAATTTGAAACGACAAACAGAATTATTTTTCGTGCAGGTACTAGTGTGTCGATGTATTTGACAATTTTTAACTAATTCATATAGTTCTGAAGTTTCTGGAGGAATGGCAGTACTACAGACTGAATCAATGCGTGCTATTCCTTCAGGTGTCGCAACAGACGGGTGATCTTCGATCCAAACAACCATATGCAAATGAGGACTTCCTCTGTTCTGAAACTCGATTCGCCACCAATGATCTTTAACTTTACCGCCAAATATTTCAGTATCAGTTTTAAGAAACTGCATTAGCGCATTAACACGTACCATAAAATGTCTACTCACAACAACTGGATACATCTCGATGAGTCTCTGAGTTTCCTGAATATCTATGTCATCTGGGTCAATGTGCTGTTTACCATCACTAACAAGGAGACCTCTTTTCATATCCTTCCAGTGAAGATCATTGCAGCTCAATGTAACAAAATAAGTGGGAGGTCCTAAACATCTGATTTGTGCTATAAGATCACTAAGAGCACTACGCCAATAAGCAGCGGAACCTCTTAGATTTTTTAAATATAAGTGCAGGTCTTCCACTCGATTGCCGTTTTCACCTTCAACTTTTCTAGCACAAGCTGCAATGGTTGATTTAACTCGATAGTACTCAAACATTGATAGAGCATAGAATAGGTAATCGTTGCGCTGAAATCTAACATCAGCACCTAATAAACGAAATTGATAGTAATCCAAAGGACTTATATTTACGGGCCGTTGTTCTTTCAAACCATTTTTACCATACGGGAAAAGCTGATACCATGCGAACTCTTCTGCTTTTAACTCATAAGCTTCATTCACAATATTATTATTCGTCTTTCTTCTGATTTCGTTTACATTTTCAGATACCTCTAGCTCATCTTCAACATCAGGTTGGACGCTATCAATAGGCAACATTACAGATGTTTGTATAGATATAGTTTCAGATCTCAGATTCGAAAGCGGTTGTTGTACTTGTACATCCTGATGAGTGATGGCATCTTCCTGTTGCTGTACTTGAACACCCTGACGAGTGATAATATTTTCCCTCAAATGTACGTCTACGCGTGTAAGGGTGTACGCGATATTACGGGATCCGAGGCATCTTTTACAGATGCGGCACAGTTCTTGTAAGTTGTCACATTCTATAACACAGGCTTTGCCATTTTCTGGTGTTGGTTTTCCTTTTGGGCCACAAGAATGGGAGTCAGCAAAATAGTATTTGTCTTCACCGCGAAATACGCTAACAGATTTATTTGACGCTGTCAATATTCCTGAAGAATGACTATCAAATAGTCTATTTAAAGCTGTATGTAATGTAATGCCGATATTATTGGTATTTACAGAATCTTGGAGACTCCCGAATAAAAGAGTGTCTTCATCACATTCTATAGAAAATCGGCATTCATACATTTGTAAACTTTGCCTGACGATATGAAAGTTTCGTATCTCTAAATATCCTGTTTCATCCAGTTCAGTAGGATCAAGCTGGGTACGAATCCAGCAATATAAGGAGTCACCCGCTAACATATTAGCATTCAGAATATTGACGTCCCATTGATTAGGGCTTAGGATTGCAGCTCGGACAATGTTCGCCAACGACATAGCACTACATTGTACACCAGCATATCGCGAAGTAAAGACGTTGTAGTCACCTTGATGCCATGAAGCTCGAATAATTCTTGCAACATTATTAATTGGAATGAATGCATTTCGAATTTCATTTTCATTCCTTTCGGACGCTTCATCTTCAGACAATTCGGGCACACTAAGTCGTACTAACTCCTGGTCACTAATTTGGGCATTGTCGTTAATACGTACATCTTTGTAAAGCGGGTTATTTCTGATTAACCATCTTAAAGCACTATAGACTTTTTCGCGACATATTGTGAATTCTCTGGTGATGTTCAAATTTTCTAATCGTTCGGTTACTACAATAATGCCTACCTGGCTTGCAGATCTTGGTAGCATACTAGGCAGTCTTTCACTGACTTCAAAGATATCTTGGGCAAATAAAACTGCCTGTCCGCGAATACCGTACTGCCCATAGAGGCCACTCAATTTCACGATTTTAACAAAGGGAATAATTCTGCACAGCAAACGTTGTTCCGCCTGTGTCAATGTTTGAATAACGTCTGGTATAGAACCTGGATCCAGATTATTCCAGTAAGCTTTTGGTGGTGCTGTTGTTTTATTACTAGTAACATGTGTTTGACAGCGGGAACATAATAACAATGATATTTTCGAAGTTAACTCCACAGGTAAGTATGTTAATGCAGCAGCGTTGTACCGAACTGTACGAACTTGATTAGGATAACAACGTTTGGTACAAATATCACAAACATGTATACAAATTGTGTTAATAGCATTCTCGAATGTCTGCAGACTATTAGCTCTGCATTGCTGGGTACGCTCTCGTTGTTTATTTAACCTCGTATCGCGATGTTCAGGCGTTTCTGAACCCAACTGCTGTCTTTGTCTTTCACGGCTTTGTATTAATCTAACTTCATATTCTTCAGGCGTTTCTGACGCTACCATCTGTGTATATCGCTCCCGTTGTTTTGTTAACCTGGCTTCATATTCTTCAGGCGTTTCTGACGCTATCATCTGTGTGTATCGCTCCCGTTGTTTTGTTAACCTGGCTTCATATTCTTCAGGCGTTTCTGACGCTATCATCTGTGTGTATCGCTCCCGTTGTTTTGTTAACCTGGCTTCATATTCTTCAGGCGTTTCTGACGCTATCATCTGTGTGTATCGCTCACGTTGCTTTGTTAACCTGGCTTCATATTCTTCAGGCGTTTCTGACGCCGTCATTTGTGTATATCGCTGACGTTGCTTTTTTAACCTGGCCTCATATTGCTCAGGTGTTTTTGACGCTAATTGTTCCCGTCGTTTCTGTAATCGACTATTTCTATCACCTTCACTTTCTTTAGCTCGTTTTGCTTTATACTTTTCTTTCGCTTTTTGAAGCCTTCGTTTACGTTGTGTTGCAGTTTCTGTTTTATTTGTGTTTGTATTTTTTATATTTTTTTTTACCATTTTGTTCCCACGAGTAATGGACATTTAAACGGTCGACCCCCCCAGAGGTCCAATAAAGGGGCAAGGCTATGTACAACAAGATGCGCCTGAGTCTTGAGGGGAAAACGCTAACGACATATCATTTTTATCCACCCTAATGCCATACAGTTCTCGGCGCGTTTTAACCTTTCACCTTAACTTGGGTGGTGTACCGCTAACGACGTATCATTTTTAGCCACCCTAACGCCACACAGTCCTCAACACGATACAAAATCTTGACTTGGGTGGTGGATTCAGGCTGGATTAATCAGATACCTAAATTACAGATTCAATTTCTAAATTTAAATCTTATTATTAGGCCGCCATCTTGGATTTTAATTTTATATAGTACATTGTATTATACTGGTTGAGCACTTTCATTTGATACCCATATTGATGGGATCGATAAAACCTACGTTATCCGCCATTTTGTAGCGGCCGCCATCTTGTATTTCAATTTTTTATAGTATATTGTATTCTGCTTGTTGAGCCCTTTCATTTGATACCCATATTGATGGGATTAATGAAACATAAATTATCCGCCATTTTATAGCGGCGGCCATCTTGAATTTATAATGATAATGAATAAACATAATTGTATTGTCACCAAAATCCAAAGTGTATACAAAATTTCAGATTAATCGGTTGACAGGAAGAGGGTGAAATTTGAATTACTAAATTTGACCCAAGAATAATAAATAAAACAAACGGGGTGAGCTAAATAAAACCGTTTAAAAAAAGGCCGGAATTGATCAACAGAAAAGGAGTAGTGTTTTATCATGATAACGCTAGACCACACACATCATTGGCCACTCTTGAGCGCACACTTGAGAGCTTGGTTGGGAAGTGTTAATGCATCCATAATATAATCTTAATCTTGCCCTCTCAACTTTTCACCTGTTTCGGTCTCTTCAGAATTCTTTGGGTAGTGTTAGGTTAACATCAAGAGAGGACTGTCAAAACAACTTTTCTCGTTTTTTTTTAATCAAAAGTACCAAGATTTCTACAGCAACGGGATTATGTCACTACCTACAAGATGGCAACAATTTGTATATAAAATACGAAGAAACTTAATCCGACCTATATAGGCATATATATGTACACCAATTCGATTACCAATAATTACCAGCGTACTTGTATATATAGAGGTCAGTGCATATAATATGGCATATCTTACCTACAGTGGGAGAGGAATAATATAAGGATGTTAAAGTTATATGTACTACTACGTACTAGAATAGACACTGCGAATAAAATCTGTACACAAACCTGTCACAGTTGTATATGGAAGGAGTATTTTACAAAATATAAGTGAAAAACGAACTAAATCTACAGGATGGTAAGTGACTACTGCGGCTCATGAACCTATGTCCAGAATCCCGGATAAGGTCGGAGACTATCAACTACGCAGGATATTGAATAAAACTATTTTTACGGATTCTATCGCGTTTAATTAAGTTATTTTATATTCCCGACGTTTCGGTTGCTTTCCAGCACCGTGGTCACGGGGGACTGAGGTGATTGACGTTCCGATGTCAAAGTTAACCCGGAGTACCTTCAGCTTTTTAATTATTAATTTTGGTCCGATCTACGCAGAATGAACTAACTGTGTCTTGAAGTCTTGCAGTGGTATGCTTGGGTTTAGTTTTAATTTTATGAATTACAGGATCCCAAGCAGGTGGTAGTACCCAGTCTCCCTCTCTATTGAAATTAGGATGTTTTTTAATTTCAATAGCCTCACGTATCATCCTTGGCAGGAATCGATGTTCTTTCGGGAGAACTTTTGGTTTATCAAATCTAATGTAATGGTGGGGGCCGTCTAGGATATGATCACAAACTGCAGACTTCCCGGAACGTTGGTGCTTCACGTCAGCTATGTGTTCTTTTACGGGGGTTTTTATTGATCGTTTTGTTTGCCCTATATATGAGAGACCACACTCACAATCAAGCTTGTATACTCCTGCATCTTGTAGAGGAATATTGCACTTGACGGATGGTAAGAACTGACTAATCTTCTTCGGCGGCTTGAAGAATGTTCTAATAGAAGCTCGCTTCAAGATGTAGCCAATCTTGTCTGTGACACCTCTGACATCAGGTAGTACAGCAGGCACACGCTCGAATGTGGCCGGCTTCACTGGGTCACTGTGACGTAGGCGCGGAACCCGAAGCTTGTTGTCGTGCAGAACCTGCTTGACGTGCTGAAGCTCGGCGGCCAGGTGTTGCTGTCACAACTGAAATAACTTAACTAAACGCGATAGAATCCGTAAAAATAGTTTTATTCAATGTGTAGTGTTCGCGTAAATATAAGAAATCATTATGTACGCAGGATATATTATAATATATATATATATATATATATATATACGTAAAATATCTGTTGTAGCTCGGGGGCTAAGCGCTCACAGTAAACTTCGCATGTGAGCAACCTGGCTTCGTTCCCCGCCAGCACCAAAAAAAGGTTAATTGCAATTTTAAGTACTGATTTACCACATGCTCGTCGTTGAAGGAAACCTGTGAAAACTGCCTGTCTAAGAAATTAAATATTTCAAAGTTGTGAAGTCCGCTAACAGGCATTGGAGCAGCGCAGCGGCAGACAATCCCTTACCCTAAAAAAATCTTTCAAAAGAGAGGATATCTGTGCCCAGTTGTGGGACGTATAGAGGCTGTAACCTTACATTACTAGTACTAAAAGGTATCCAGACCACTCCAATAATTCCGGCAGTTAAGGTCCAACGGAGAGGTCTTCCTTCGGCTGGTCCCCTAATCTGAAACTCCAATGACACCTACGTTGGGTTCGGGCGGTCAACGAGGCGTATGTGAACCCCGTGAAGGAGTATCACAAGAGAGCGTCTGAAAACCCGTTCTCAAAAGAAAAGGTCAGACGACGAAGACTACGGGTCCCCTTGTAGTGGTCCCGGTCCCGATGTCTTCTTAGTGTGGACTGTAATTTTATATTTATAGGCATTTGTGAAGGATCCCTCGGGAATAAAACAGCAATTGTCTTCAAACTGCTCCGTAAGAGTGCAATTACTTCCCCTATCACTTCCCTATATGTTTTCTTTCTTGATTATATATATTACTGGTAGCTGGTCCCGAATGAATTACATGAAAACAAGTCTAATAATGTACTTCGAAGTTATACTCGAAAGAGTGCCGCGCCCTCTATGCGATTTCACAACACAATTACGTTTATTTTTGTCCATTGCACTCCCACGGTTTGCTCAATATATTTATTTGTATAAGGCATACATTTATAAAATTTATTTATAATGATAGCACAACAAAATCTTTATATTATGACATACATTGCATTTCAATCACACAAAAAACCTTTTATTTATTCAACAAAATATGCCTATTTTACAACATATGTACTAAGTTAGAATTCTTAAATATCTAACATGTAACCTTTAAAACACTTTTAAATTTCTTATATATCTTAGCTATCATTATTTTAGGGCAAATTTATACATAAAAACAATACAGAATTCACCTTTTTGCTTACACAGTCATCCTAAAACATTTATGACTTAATTTTACATAAATTACTGAAATTTTGCAAATAATTAAAAATTCCATAGATTAATGATAAGTCATCGCGCGCTCTGACTAGATACCGCCGGCGCTCATGTAAAATGCAGCAACAAATACTACGCCGAAATGGGCGTACCCGAGCCAGTCGCGTTGCAGCACAGAACACTAATGGCAGCCATAATACACGATCAAGTCTACCGTCAAGTTTGCAGCGCGCTTGAAGCGGCGTCCGGTAAACTTGACGGTGTATGGCTATGGGTGTGCATGACAAGTCTACTTGAAGCAAAAATTGAATTTCGATTCTGCCGACTTGATCAAGCTTGCAGCGTCATGTAAACTTGAACGTGTGTATGAGCGGTCAAGTATGCATGACGTTAGTCGACTTCGGTAAGCGAAGACGCGCGCACGCGGTATATAGTACAATACACCGAAGTGTTATGTAATGTATAAATTTTTTTTTATTATGTTAAAAAACGTTACCTACACACTAGGATTTTCTCTTGTATCGTGGAGGCAGTTAACAAACATAAATTGCACGAGGACAAACCTCTACACATATACAAATACAAATATTTGTTCCGTGCGGGATTCGAACCCGCGTCCCCAGCATTGCAACTCATTGCTAAGCCAAAACTTTATTGTTCAATGTGAGGAAGATTAATATGCAATATCAAGGAAAATTAATATTATAATAACGTGAACGTCTGAAACTCAGATAATTTACCTACTTACCATTTTAACCTACTTTAAAAAAGGAGGAGGTACTCAATTCGACTGTTTTTTTAATGTGTGTAACCTCAGAACTTTTTTCTAGGTGAATCGATTCTGATGATTCTATTTTATTTGAAAGCTGGTGCTTATAATTTAAACATCACATATAAATTTGATCAAGATCTGACTAGTACTTTTGGAATTATCCGTAATAATACGTATTCGTATTGAAGTCAGTTGTACAAAAATTTTAATTTCATTAGTTGTCTCTCTTCCTCTCTTTTAAAAAAACATTACTTCCACATTAGGATTTTCTTCTGTATCGCAGGGACAGTTTCATACATAGAACAGACCCAGAACAATTATTTGTAGGTCATACAAATACTTGTTACGTCCGGGATTCGAACCCGCGGCTCTTAGCGTTGCAACTCATTACTAAGCCACTGCGCCACGGAGCCGTCACTTGTTTGTTTCACATTTTTTGCTCTTTACTATTGAGATAATAATTTTCGTTTCATTAACCAGTTTTTGAAAAGTAATTGCGAGCAATAAGCCTAGGATGGCTAACGCATCGTCGCCCGTCACCGTCACTAGTGACGCCATGGTTTCAACTGATGCGGCATCATGCAAACTTGACGGCGAACTTGAACGTGTGTGGCCTATATGGATGCACTGCCAACTTGACGCCGCTTCAAGCGCGCTGCAAACTTGACGGTAAACTTGATCGTGTATGGCAT